GCTGAACCAGACATGCAACTTTGGAAACCTAAATGCGTCTATGATCAGAGACCAAATAGTATTGGGCATAAGGGATACAAGCCTCAGGAAAAGACTGCTAGAGGGTCCTGAGCTTTATTTGGAAAAGGCAGTTAGAATGTGCCAAACAGCTAAGATAACAAATGCCTGGCTGCAAGAGCTGGAGGAAAAAACAGAATAAGGTAAACTAGACAGGATTACAAGACTGCAAAAACCTAAGACAACACACAAACAATACAGAAAGGAGGACCTCACTATGAAGCAGACAAGCAGAGGTCAAAGAGAATTGCTTGAAGAAACAATGGTCAGCTGCAGATGCTGTGGGGGTTACCACAAACCCATGCAGTGCCCTGAATTTGGTATGTGCTGCAACAAATGCAAAAGATTGAATCACTTTGCAAGAGTTTGTAGAAAGGAGCAGGATGCACCACACAAGAAACAGCAGGTGCATGCTCCATACAGTGAGGAAAAGGAAGAATTCCTCATTGGCACAATGCAAAAAGGTCATTCTTCTGAGGATTGGAGAATCACCTTGGGCACCAGTGGACTAATGGTAACTTTTAAATTAGATACAGGGGCACAGGTCAATGTAATGCCAGAATACATTATTCAAAAAATGAAAACTAACCCTGTGTACTATGAGAATAAGAAAATAGTACTCAGACCATATAATAGGAACATGATTGCTACAAAGAGTGTTTGTATACTGCATGTTAGACACAAAAGTAATATAATAAAAATTGCCACGTCTGGGGCGTCCCTCCGCCCCTCCCGTGGCACTGCCGCTGCTCCTGCAGGGCCCACAGGTGATTTTCCCTATTATGCCTATTATGCCCCTGGACCATGGGGGCCCGGCAGCGCAGGCTGCTTTGCCCCAAGCAATGGTGGCTCGGAGAAACTGGAATTGCCATGGTAGGCACTTCCAGTTTCACTTTGTCTTACAAGCCAGCATACCGGTTAGTGGAGGCGGATAACAGAACTTTTACTGTACTCTCACCATGCATGCTCCAAGAAATGTTCCCCTTGTATTAAACGAGAAACTGAAAAAGAAATTAGATAGATTAGTTAACATGGATATAATAAAAAGAGTGGAGCAACCAACTGCTTGGGTTCTTTCACTGATCATAGTAGGAAAAAAAGATGGATCCTTAAAATTGTGCCTGGATCCTAAGCAAATGAACGGGTACATCAAAAGGAAACATTTTCCCATTCCCACCTGGGAAGACGTTTTTGACAACTTGGCAGAAGCTAAATATTTCTCCACTTTGGATGCCTCTTCTGGGGTTTGGCAAGTTGCCCTAGAAAAGGAAAACACTAGATTATGTACCTTCAATATGCCCTTTGGAAGGTATTGCTTTCATAAGCTTCCTTTTGGATTTCACAGAACGGTGCAATGCATTTTTTAAGGTCTTGATGGAACTATGGTTTATATTGATGATGTATTAGTTTGGGCAAATAATGTGGAAGAACATGACGAGGCTAAGGTAGGCACTAAAAAGAGCTTATAGAGCAGGTTTGAAATTAAATAAACAAAACTGCAAATTCAGGGGCAAACAAATAACATATCTGGGAGAAAAGCTCTCTGAGAGAGAGGTGCAAATCAATCCTGCAAGGGTTAAAGCCATTACAAACATGCCACCCCCTACGGATAAGGAAGGAGTGCAAAGATTACTGGGAATTATCAGTTTTGTTGGAAAATATCTACCTAATTTAGCAAAGCAGACCAAACACCTTAGATAACTTCTATAAAAGAATGCTCAGTGGATATGGGAACATGACCATGAAACTGAATTTTAAAACTTGAAGGAAAAAATAATGAAAGCATGAAAGCTCTGGTACTAAAATACTATGACCCTAAAAGACTCATTAAATTGTCAACAGATGCTTCTAAAGAAGGCATTGGAGCAGCTTTGCTTCAAAAACATGGGGATAGCTGGAGACCCGTACAGGTTTTCCTCGCCAATTGTGGCAGTTAGGTTCTGGAAAGTTCCCGGGGTTGGCAAAACTGTGGTTGGTAAAACTAAAGGCTTATGGGGAAAATGGGGCCAGGGACTTGAATACTGTACTGTATAGTGTATAAAAATCATTTTTACTTACCTTTAATACACATGGTAGTCACTAGGTGTACCCCTAGGGGTGCTTAGGTTATAGCGGGTATGTGCTGGTGGACAGAGCGCACCCTTGGCACAGCGGCAGCATCTCCCCTGGCATGTTCGCCTCTTACCAGGGGGAAGGGGAGGAGAAAGGGGATGGAAAATATGTAGGAGACACCAAGCAACAACTGCGCAGCAAAATGAGTGCACACCAAAAATCTCTCAAAGACAAGAACAGAATACCACC